CTAGAGCTGGTACATTACTACTTCCCATTCAGCACATAGCTAATTTAACAATAAAATATCTGAGTTAAGCGCGTTTTCAGCTTATATTAAAAAGGTGATTTCCTGCTATGGGTCATTCTAAACATCCTGTCTCTAGTATTCAAGGAGCATGGATGTGTATACAATTGACACTTTGGCTTTTTATCCTAGAAAGCAGAAAGGAAAACTGTATTAGGAAAAAAAAAGTTATAAATGTAGATTTAGCAAATGAAAGGAAATTATTGTCACCTTCAGATGAACTTTGAACATAAACTCAATTTCTTATTTTCTTTATGACTTTCCGATACAGATCTTTGGAACCGAATAATTTCTTCTGAAGTAGAGAAAGCTATTTTTTGTGAGTGTAGTGGCAAACAGTCTCTAAAACACAGAAATTACACCAGACCTTATAATTGATTTCAGTTTTCAAATTGCAATAGCTTGCAGTAGTTTTTTTTTACTGTTGAAATTTTAACTTACAAAAGAATTCTGGAATTCTTTTCTTCGAAAGAAACAATATCTTTAAGATAACTAATTAAAAACTTGTCAAAATCTAGTCTCTCATATTGCTGTTAGTATATTACTTCATGTAATTTTTGATTTATAGTTAGTTCTACTTGCACCCATTTCATTGTTCTGGCAATGGAAGAGTTCTGAGACTCTTATATAAATGGAAATTACTTGTTTCTTAAGAATGAGTTATTGTTTGCTTAGAAACTCAACTTTATACATAAAACTACTTTCTTACTCTCCATAAACTGCTATCTGATATTATCTTTTTTAAAAAAAACCTTTTTTTTTATCCTATTGCAGTATCTTGTCAAAATATTAAGAACTGTGGAATTGCATGACTGTAAATGCATATGAGCCAAGTCCTCAATATTTTACTTTCCTGAAATATTTTTTCTTACAACTGTTAGTTGAATAAAAACTTTATCTCAAAAGAGAATTATAATGAAGTTCAAATAAAATATTATAATATTAATTACATTTACACTGTTTACATTTTTTACTATGCTTTGTATATTGCTACTGCATCACGTTAAAGATGCTCAACTAGCATAACAAAAAAATTCTACTCTTACAAGAAGATTGTAATGGCTTAGGTAATTTAATACCATCCTGCTGATTCTCATTACTTATTGAAGATGATCATTTCCATTGTCTTAAATCTTTAAACACAGTAAATCAATTCCAATTGTAATTATGTTTTATGCTCAAGAATTTCATGGTTAATTGCTCTTTTAAACATTGTGATTCATTATTCCCTTGTTATTCCTCTTATACAATGAACTTAACTTACCATCTTTTTGAGAGTTTTAGATTTTTCTGCATTATTAGATAAACTACTAAACTTCAGCGTAGTTGATAACATCCTTTAAGTTCAATTTCTCAGTTTTTAATAAAATTAACTGTTTTCTTTTCATTATACATCTCAACACTTACCAAAGAGATGTCTACATTATCACTTTTGATTGTCAGGATTATCACCAAAGCAAATAGTATATAGTAATTTATTTTCGAATATTTTAGAAATGGTAGTATGAAAATCAGCTAATTTGCGAACATCTTTAACTTAAATACCATTTTCTATCCAAATCTATGGTTACTTGGTATGCAGTGCCTCAAAACTTGAAATCCCCAAACCAGATTGATCAAAATAAACCAGCAAGTAAAAGAAAAATAAGTCTGCATATTAAACGACAGGCTGTAACTGAACTACAATATTTAGATTGTGGGGGGGAAGTAAATAAAAAAAGACCTTCAAATCACCTTCACTTTTTGAAGACTTGGTGCTTTTCACCATATTTGGTGATTACATACTAATGATTACAAATAATGATTACAATTAACAGAGAGAAAGAAGCAATCTCAAAAGAAGAGGTGCTTCTATATTTCTTTTCCTTCAGCAGGCTGCTCTTCATTTGAAAGCATATCTAGATTTTTCGCTCAGATATGCATATTCAGATGATTATTTTGCACTTACTGACATTAATTTCCTACTGGTGTAATTTTAATCTTTAGTCAAGTTGCTTTTGAATCCAACAGTATAAATAAGGATAGAATAGATTCAGCTGCTATCACCTGTGGAGTATTCATTTTTACCTTAAGCTTGACTCATTTACTTTTGTTTGTAGAAGTCCAGGATATTGAATGACAATAAATTAAAACCATCTTCTGCTGTGAACATCCAGGTGTGTGTATAAGAACATCCATGTACAACTCAAGCATAATAGCAGTTCTATTGCACTAGCTTATTTTGAGCAAATGGCATAGGAGATTTAAGATTTCACCATGGAAGACTTGATACAGATGTATCAGTCCATGCAAAAAGCTTCCTTCACATTAATTCAAATAATTCTCAGAAGCAGTGCAGAATAGGATAACAATAAGTTCTACATAATCAAATAAAAACTCTGATCGATGGTATAACATCATCTTTATTTACTTTTTCTCTTGGAAATGCTGTTATATTCATCTCACAAATAAGACCTGAGAAACCATGAAACAGATATGCAAAGTCAATCAAACAGTAACCACTTAATTATTTAGTTCCAGAAGGCATTTTTTTCTTAATAGGGCCAGGGTAAGTTGCTCAATTATAAATGCTTAAGCACATTTCAAAATTATGCCATAAGATGCTCATGACAGAATTAGAGCTTTTATTTCCCATAAACAGTGCTAACTTCCTCCTCTAAGAGAAGGAAATTTAAGGAAAAAGAAATAACAAACACAAAACAATCATTTGTGTGGCAAGAGGAATTAACATTTTTAGGTCTTATTAATATTGTGTTTCAACATGCATCAAGACAAGCAGCAGGGAAAACATGAAACAAGTAATAGCTGTGTGTCAAACATAGTACCCACTGTACTTTATGCCTAGACGCAGAAAACTCCATTTACTGGACAGATTAAGCATAATAACTTTCATCCTTAACGCTAAGCTCCATCCCAACATTTCTACCTCCTTTTTTTATGACAGGTAATAGAGAAGTACATAAACAAATGGCAACATAAAAATAAACAATAAAACCCAACTATGAAGGTAGATACAAGATAGATACCTTGCCAATGAATAACTATTGGTCTCATTTTTACTTTATTTTTTTCTTTGGCAGGTTAATTCTATTTTACTGTTAAACTGAACTTGTGCACTACTCACCTAAGAGTCTGTCTTTACTTGCTTCCTGCTTTACTAGTACATGCAATAAAAAACTGCTACATCAAGAATTCAAAACAAAAAATAGAAAAAAAGTTCTGAGCCATGCCATTACAGAACTGGTTTGTTTGTTTGTTCATACATAGCAATAGTAGAAAAACAGAAATCAGGAGGAAAAAAATAAACTGTTCTCTCTTTCATAGCCTTCTTTTTTGGTCATATACCATGCATATACCATGCCTGTTGGTTTAGGACTGATCAAACAGGTTGGTGTGCAAGATGAAGCTGTGTTGTTACTTTTTTTGATGCCTCCAACATCACACTGATCATTCCAAAGTCATTTACTTCCTTTACCATAACCTTTCCATTCACATAAATAACTTGCTTTGCATTATGTTTCTACTAGACTGTGTTACACAAATTACAGAAACTAATGAAGCATAAATTCTTCTAATACGAAACCTATATCAGTAGAAATACATCATCTCAGTTACACCCAGACACTAGGAACTGTTCTGAGGCTAAGATGCTTTTCTTTACTGCCAAAAAATTAAAATGCATAGAATCAAATCTCTGACCTGAACAGTCTAAGACTTTTGTTATCATACTTTAAAATACTTTTGTTCAATTGGTGTATGGGGGTTCTACAGAAGTAGTGAAAATATATAAATCAGAATAAATTAAAAGAAACACTGCTAAACATCACCATGAAAACACCACGCAGTTCACGTCTGCTGGAAACCACATTACTACTCAATTTAATTTCACACATGAAAAATACATAATTATATTGAAACAGATTCTGTGTACTACTATTTAAAAGCTTTTCCACTAAAATTTAATGAAATATTTTATCCCTTATGAGCCAAGTCCTGAGTTCCTAAACTCTCAGTGACTGGTTCCGCTGCAACCAGTGCTAAGCAGGCACTGCAATATGGCTATTTTGAGCTACCCGGGTTATCACTGACTGCAGCAACCAATCACCACATTAAAACAAAGGCACAGTTATGCACTGCTTAGATCTCTGTTCTAAAACCTTACTGAAAAAGAGCTGGAGGCTGGGGGGTGGAAATGATGGGGAAAGAGAGAAAAAAGCAGTGCACAATCTGCAATCATCTCAGAGTGACAGGTATTTGCAATATCCATACTACACAACACTAGTAAAAAAAAAAAATCCCTAAAACTCCTATCTTATTTCTCTTTCCACCCTACGTTCCTTCTCTTGCTTCCTGTCATGTTCAGCTGAATTTATTGTTCAATATTAACCCATCTTTGTTTTATATATATATGTATAAAAATAAATTTGAGTAGACAGCAATTTGAGCTCTGGAATCCATATACGTTGCAGTCTTCGTGTTTTAGAAAAAAGAAAAAATATTAGTACTGGATGATTTTCCATCATTCAATGGCAAATAAGCCAAAGCATCTCAGTTCCATATCTACATTAGTGCTTAACTCTGATGTAACATAAACATTTAAAAAAATTAAAATAAATAAGACTTTGTTTTTCCCTAGCTGCAAACAATCTACATTGTATTACAAAAACCTAGTTCATATGTCTTTTAAATAATATTACTATGTAAGGAACTTCATCCCTGTTCAGTACAACAAATGATCAGAACTGATGATATTACCTGGTATTGTTATTATATTCATTTTCTACTTATATCTTTTCTTCTTATATTTCATTTTCTGTGCTCCACATGCATCATCATCATCATCTTCTCAAGCTGGTATGAGCAGTTTTGTTCCAAAAGATAACTTGGTGTCTTCACTAAACGTGGAAGACTTTGCTTCCATAGCAAATACAATGAAGTGACCACTGGAAGAACTACTTCTGAAATGCAGTTTTTCAATCTTGAAAGAGAAGAAAAAATTATCAACAATAACTTTTACGTGCTACTGTTTGAGACAAACCATTCAAAGATGAAATACCACGGTCAAGAAGGACTCCAAAAATTCCAATTTTATATATATATATATATATATATATATATATATATATAAAAAATATCTATACATCCATATATATCTATAACATCTATATCTGTATCTGTCTATATCTATACATATCTATAATATAATATCTATATATATCTATAATATATTCCAATATAATTCCAAAATACTGATATCTGCTTTTCCTTTTCACTTCTTTATTTTCATAATGGAAAACGACTGAAGAATTTTAGAATGACTAAAACTATGAAAATCTTCTTTAAAAATTAAGTGCAGTGAGAATACAGCATTTGGAGTCATTCTCATTACATGCCTGTCATCTGAGTAAAGGTGAACAGCCACCAGTGGGTAAATTCAGAACTATTTCTCCACAGAACATTGAGATCATATTGAAGATATTACTGTGTGGGCAGTAACTGGATTTTCAAATATCATTCAGACAGCTGGGGGGGATGGATCTGTTCTCATTTATCCAACCAAGATGAAACTCTAACTTCTAGTTGATAAAGTAATATTTAGAAAATTCTGAAGAAATTAAACTTTTTTTAAGACCAACAAAACAAATAGCCCATTCATGCTGGAAGAGTGACAGGGATGTTGACCTCTCTTGCTGCTGCCATCACACCCCTCATTTATTTATTGATTAAAATAATAACAAAAAAATATATCCTGGTTCGATTTTGTTAAAAAGCTAGCCAACCCAATTTAAAAGATGCATTAGAGATTCCCTTGGCAACTTGAATATTCAAATGTATTACTTTTAAAATAAATGAAGGAAATGAGAGCGAAAAATGAAGCTATTAAAAATTTTAAGATAAAAGTGAGAAAAGGAATTTTGAAATAAATGCTTACACTAACTGTGTCAGAGGAAACAAAAATAGAGTGGTTTAAGAAATTTGTTTCAAAGCAGTTGATCCTGGTAACACATCTACAGAAGTATGGTTTATGTTTTTACTAAATTCATGAAGGTTTTGCATAATGTATTAGGAATTTAGTCATGAATACAGATTTTTTGGCAGTGGGAAAAATATCTTTATGATGAATATTTTGCAGCTTAACTTCCTTCTTCCCTTGTTAAAATGTGCTACTGTAGCACTTTTGTACATTAACTTCTGACTTTATAAATTATAAACCAGCAGAGACTATTAAAGAAAGTCTCACAAGGTGCATGTTGGAGGTATGTATAGATAGGGACATTTTATTCATAACCAATAAAATACTGTACTAAATTATAACATTTTCCTTAAGGTTCTTTCACTATATATAATTATTTTATTCATCAAGATGTAGCTTTACAGCTTGTGGTGAAAACTAGAAAGATTTTTTCAAGAAACAAAAGCTTACAGAAAGTGTGATTATAGTTCACAGAATTTCTTTAGCCTTCCATTATTATACACTAGGGGAATGAAAGAACTATCTTCTTTACTAACAGCTCTCAAATTCCATCCTCCCCCCTTTTTTCTTTTTAAGACCGAATATAATAGTGAGTTGGCAGTATGAGCATTATTATTTTGGCAACAACATGCACGATTAACAGCTTTCAGCATGCTTTAGAAGCAAAAAAAAAAAAAAAAAAAAAAAAAAAAAGTGTTGATTAGTACTCCACTTGTCATCATATTCCTAAAAACAGAAGAAATTACCATTTGGAGAGCAGGGAGTCAAAATATGTAAGCAGTGTCACAATGCCATTCAAAGGTTTCATCTTATCTCTGTGGTCCACGCAGTTACAAAAACAGGGTAAATAGAGAGAGAGGAAACATGCAGAGCAGTGTCTTCTCAAACACTCTGATAAAAATGTGTGGAAAATGGTTAATCAAAATCACAATTCATTTTCTAGTTCTGTCCTGTGCAATGCTATTTCCTCTAAAACTTTATTTTAAAAAATCCTTTCATTAAACATTACAAACATATTTTTTAAAAGCATCCGGGAAGGGCTAACAATGATCAGGTGAAACAAGCATCTCTCAGCGTACTAAAATTTCTTTGCTTAATCCAGCAAGAAGATGAATTAAGAAGGAGCGTGATTACTGTCCTGTAATTGCATTAGCTGAGAAGGGCTTCAGAGGAGAAATATTTAGCTGAAGAGCAACACTAGCACAAACAAAAACAAACTTGTATAGATTGACCGTGCATAAATTTAGGCTGACAACAAAGCTATTCCAGGCTTACAAAAGCTGGCAAGTATGGTAAAAGTACAATGAAAACAGCACTTAAAGTGTGCTTAAAGTGGTATAACTTGATTGCATAAAGGTAGTTCATATGACGGCTCATGGCTGGACTTCATCACATGGTAAATGAGGAGTATGCCAATTATTTTACTCAAAGCATATCAGAGCACCAATCCTGAAATAAGTGGCATGCCAAATCTAGAAGGGCTCTTATTTAAAACAAACAGAAATTTGCTAAAATTACTTTAAAACATCACACACTTAAGGTGGAAGTCTAAGTGACATAAGAAACTGAGTTAAGATTCACTATTTTAAACACAGAAAGAAAAGCTTGTCTTCTGTTTTCCATACATGCTACTTCAAGATATTCAAGTTAAGAACAAAATATACACTGTTCTAAAAACTAAACCCAGGAAAACCCAAGGCAGAAAAGGAAGGTCAGATTTGTGATGAGTATGAAAGCAAAACAAAGGCTTATTTTGTACTGCACAAAGCCCGGTCATTCCAATGCTTAATTTTTCCAGTTCCCTTCAGCCTTCTACTCCTTTTTGCATAAAGCAAGGGAATATTAGACTTTGCTCCTACTTCGATTGAAGTATTTGATCCTTTTAAAACCAGAGATAGAGACACTAGCACAAATGCCAATCATTATGGAAATAACCACACATACTGTCAGCCAAATGTTCCTTTGCTCATAGGTTCTGCATGCTGTTATAAAAACTGTCATTGGAAAACTGATCAGTATCAATAGGTCAATCTCTACACTCTCATAAAATCTGCATATATTTCCAGCATCATGCAAGTTGCATGGGAAGAAAAAATACAAAAAAAAGCCCTCAGAAATACTGTCTGAGGTATTCAGAAACACAGTTTCTCTATGTAAATCTAGGTCACACTTAAAATAAGATTTTATTTGCATACAGATATCATTGTTTCATATGGCTTAAAATATTAATAAGTTCAGGCATATTCAAGGGCACCGACAGGGCACTGTAACCACAGAAGCACCTTACTTTGCAGCAATTCATTTTTTGTATATGTAATTTCCTTTTATATACTAATACACTGCACATATCTTAGTCATTTAACTGAATAAACTAACCTGTCACTCATAAGTAGAGTTCACAAAAGTTCATATTTTATATGAGGCTCTAGCCATTAAGCAAATGTTAGAGAAGTTGTAAACAGAATAATCTGTTGAGACACTAGATCTAAGTTTGTTGTTAGCTAACTCCATGTTTGAGTGGAATTATATTTTTGAACACTGTCAACTACATGAATATCACAATGAAAAAAGTTGGTTAAGAATACTATATAGTAGCTTCCCCTTATAAGATACTATAAAAAATCCATAATGATCTGTACTATTCAGAAATGCAGAACAACATTTACAATTTAAAAAAAAATATATATATGATACAGTGGCATATAAAATCTGTTTGCTGTTCACCTTAGCCTTCAAGGACTTCAAATGTTGGAGAAGAAATAAGATGCAAGAAAATGGACATCAGGAACATCAGTTATGAAAGCCTCCATGCTCAATTCCACCAACAAATCAAGTAGCTTTCTCTCACACTAGTAAAGATATCTGTCCTTAACTAAGTATGAGTAAACTAAACTCCTACTAGGAGTTTCTCCTAGTAGGGAAGGCATGCCAGCAAAAGACAGGATAGACATACTTAAGTGAGAATGTAATTAATACAGTACATATTTTTTGGAATAACATTGTGCTCCTCTTAACAGTCTACAGGTTTGGGGGTTCCTTTTTTGTTTCTT